CTTCTGCAGCAGCCATCTGGTCCCGTGTGCAATTGTTTCCCCTGGCCCCAACAAGCAATATCTGGAGACAGAAACAGTTCGAGCCCATCTGGGTGTTTTCAAGGAGGCTGCACCACATCCCTCACGGTCAATGCCCCTACTGATGTCACCCTTACTATCTTGGAAATACTACCTCCAGTTTGGGGGACAGCCTGTGTCCACTAAATCAATGGCTTGGACTGCTGTGATCCTGATATTTTCTTTTAATAATTCAAAAAACAAGAACCCTCATTGAAGGTATGTGAAAAGGTTCACTACCACCCACCTGGGCCTGGAAGTGAGGCCAGATACATGGCTTAGATTAAAGCAAGAGAAGAGCTTCAAATTGAAGTTAAAGTTTGTTCTTACTTTTGTGGCTGTGTCAGACCCTTAGCAAGATCCAAACATAAATTACTGTGAATGTGCACCCTGGCTTCTGTTCCTCCAAGCCATACATAGGAGGTACTCAAATTCTCTTCACTGACAAGCACGGGAATCTCTCCTCAGTACAGGCTCCAGCCTTGGCTTTGAGGTCACTGACTGCATCCTCTCCCTGCCCGCAATACCGTCCGCTGAGTGAGGCCTCGGGCTTGTCTGAATCCCTCATAATCACCTTCAGGGCCTCCCACTTGCAGGGAAAGGAATGTTGAAAACCTGGTTGGTTCTTACTTACCAATCTGTAACCTTGAGGCAGTCATGTAGACGCTCTGGGCCTCAGACACTCTTCCTCAGTGAAATGGGGCTGATTACCCTGTCATGAAAACCCCATCAGACGGCTGGTGAGACATCTCTCACCCCTTCCCAACTTGTGCTGTAATATCTGGGAGCATCTTGGCTTTGTCTGGCTATCTGTACCTAATTCTCTGATGTCTTCCAGCCTTAACAAGCTCTGCTCCTTCATCTTAGTAACATCTTTCCTTTTTTTTTTTTTCTTTTTCTCAAAAGACTTTTACTCACTCTTCTAGACTCAGGTGAAGTGTTTTCTCCTCCAGGTGGACTTTCTTGACATCCCAGGCTGAGTGCTTCTGCTCTGCATGCCTCCAGCAGTGGCATATATTTTATGTTTGTCACAGCACTTAGTGAACCCGAAATCACAGTTTCCCACCTTCGAGATGCTCGCAGGCTTGTGACAGATGCAGCATATTCTTTTATAATTGCCCTTTTCTACAATGTCTCCCTAGGGTGGCTAACACTACTGTAGCCACTTAATGGCTAACTGTTGAGAGTGAAGGTATGGGGGGGCATGGATCAAGGGAGTAAAGGGACCCAAGGGGTATGAGTGCAGCACTGGTGTTGTCTGTGACGTGGAAGGAGGCTAGCACCTGCCTCTCTGTTGGGCGACAGATCCTGCAAGGCCTCATCGAGGGTTACATTGAAGCAGATTGGACTCTGAGGGCACTAGGGAGCCTCTGATGGGGTTTGAGCAATAAAAAGATATGGCTGGTCATATGTTTTAGAAGGATCCTGCTGGCTGCTCCACAGGGAATGTCCTGGAGAGGCAAGACTGGAGTCACATGGTTCAGTGAGGTGCTTTTGGTGTGATCAAGTGAGGGCTGACGGTGTGGTCACGTGGTTGGAGAGAGGCAGGTGGCTTCTACTTCCTGTGGTAACAACAGATAGCCAGGGCTGAGTCCAGGCTCTGTCCCTCCGTGCTATAGACTTTGGGCACCAACTCTAGAGCATCGTTGTCAGAATTAATGAGGGAATAAATGTCTTAGTAGTAGCATTCCAGACATGCTCTGCAGGTAAACTGGGGAGTATGGGAGCTTAGGGAGAGCTGATCAAGGGTGACTTAGATTTCTGGTTTCAGGAAATGGGAAGATAAGTCAGAAATGACTCAACAGTGGGCATGTCAGGTCTTGGGATAGGAGGGAGGAGGACAGATTCTGGATCTGAGGGTGGAATATGTTCAGGCCCTCACATCCCGGCCCCCGCCAACTCTGCAGCCCAGTTCTCACCCAACATGGGCAGGGCAGGATGGATGAAGCATAGGTATCCCAAAGGGGCAGAACTGACTGGAAAAAACAACAGTCCAACTATCTGGAAGGCTAGGCCCTTTCAGTGTTCTGTGTGGCCCTGGGTAAGTCACCTTATCATGTGGGGCCTGAGTTTACACATGTGGGAATGAGGGGGACAACTGTGCCCAGGCCTAGTCTCCCAGACACTGAAAGCCAGGAAGTCCAGATGATGTGGAAACACCTCCTCTTCCTTCGAGGTCCCACTCATGTGCCACTTGCTCCACGTTACCTCCCCTGGCTCTCCAGCCAGAAGCAACCCCTCTCTACTCTGGGCTCCTAAAACCTCCACTCTGAGCACTTACAGGACTGCATCTGGCCTCTGCCCACCCCACGGTCTGGCACACGGGCTGGCACACACAGGCATTCACTGCCACGGGTGCTGCTCTGTGCTTCCTCCCTGCAAGGAGCCAGCACAAAGACAGGGCTAGTCCAGAACTTGCTGTCATGGTCCTAACCAACAGGGGAACTGGGTCCTTCTGGTGAAAAGTCCTCATGTGAAGCAAAATAGAGGAATCAAGACATATCCAGGGGCTGCACTCAGGGAGCCACAGATAGACACCATTAATGAAGTATTTTTTTAATCATTTATTAAAGCCTTATAGTTTTCAGGTAGAGGCAGGGGGGTATACTTTTCCAGAGTAGTTTCACATACACAGAAGTTTGGAAACACTATAGCTCGTGGGAGAGGTTGCCAGAGGGCCCACTAGCCAGAGACCTGTCTGTTCTGTGGGGGCTTGAAAGATACTGTCTCATGCTAAGGGGGGGCAGTTACCAGAAACTGTCCCCTCCTGCCTCCTGCTAGGGAGAGGCTGACTGTGGTGGGGCAGAGTCTGTCTCCGGGCCTCCTATAAGCTCTTCTTCTAAGGCTTTGCATTTTCCTAGGGCAGGCTGGGTAGGAGGACAAGGGTTTGGGGGATACGAAAGTCCCTGGTCCACTCAAAGAAAGGGCCACATCTTTGGATGAGAGTGGCCCTCTCAGTCAGCACCATCCCCTCTCCACCCAAAACCACTGAGGCAGCCCCGCATCCCCCACCCAGACTCAGCCAGACTCCTTGGTCCTCTTCAGGAACAGGAGGCCACAGGGCTTCTCGTCAGATAGTTTGGAAGCTGGCACACATCCACTCCCCACTACTCCCACGTACAGAATACCCACATGCAAAAAGGCACACACATAGACATCTGCATGGAGACACATACCATTCACTGAATTCACCATACACACACAACAAGGTCATGCTCAAACACAACCACCTCAAGTACACATGCCTGCCCTCTTTATATAAAAAAAACGGGGTCAGCAGGGACAAGGGAGACACTAAGGAGGGGTACATGCCATGCCTTTTCCTACCTTTCTCTTCCACTTGTGAAATACCATGTCCTGCAAAGTTCAGATCCAATGCCATCTCCCCCATGAAGGCCTCTCTGATTTCCCACAGGACTACTGAGTCCTCCCCGCTGTGCCATCCCCTGACTCTCTCTCCTCCATCTGATCTTTGCCACATTCTGTCTCCTCCCATTACAACTCCCTTAAAGGATAGCTAGTGTGTACCCTTTGCACTTTATTTTTTGCCCCTTCCTTTAGACTCCTGCCTGGAATGGAGGCTGAAGTTGTAACTACCATCTTGGACCACTGGTGAAGGCCACCCCTTAGGAAGGACAAAGTTACAAGCTGGAAGGACTGGGTCCCTCAGGATTTTGTAGGGCAGAAATGCCATGCCAGCCTGGACTGCCTGTCTCCAGATTTTCACATGAGAGAAATAAATTTTATTTTGTTTAAGCCAATTATTTCAGGTCTCTGTTACTTGCAGATAAACTCAATTTTAGCTGATACACTGGGAATTATTTCTGGCTTCTTTTCCACCTCTCCCTGCATCTAATCATCAAACACTTTTGATTCTACTTCCTTCACATGTCTCACATGTGTAACCTTTGCTCTGTCACTGCTACTTCCACCTGAACTCCTACCATCAGAATTTCTTGCCTGGATTACTGTGTCAGCCTTCTTTCTACCTAGTCTCCCTACCTTTGGAGTTTGTCCTTTCCAATCCACCCTTCTGACCAGTAACTCAAATTAGCTCTCTTATGAAAAAGTTAAATATGTGCATTACAGAGATCAATATAACGAATACTCACACCAAGGATGGTGACAAGTGTTAATATTATCAGTAATTTTTGTTGCTTTAAATCATCCATTTTGTGGTAATTTGTAGCAAATTTGTATGGCAACTGTAGGAAAGGAATACATTGGTAAAACGGAAAGTTGTGGCCTGTGGTTTGAAATATAGAATGAGATCTAAGAGAGAATAGATAAGTGTGAGACAGTTAATTGGGGCTGGACTTAGTCATTCTGACAGTGTGATAACAGAGGATAAATTAAATCTGCAAGGGACACAGTGCTATTTGGGTTTTAGAGAAGAGTGTCAGAGAAACAGCCTTTGTTTAAAGTGAACTTGTTTGAATTATTCAACTTCTGGAATCTCAAATTCATTCACTTTTTCCTTTAAAAATGATTAATTCCCTTCGACACAACTGCGCAATGCAGGTTTGTCATTAATAACCACTATTATTTTGTGCTTACTAAGCCAGCTCGTTTTTAGGCATAATCGGCTAACCTCACTTAATCCTCGCAAATGCCCCACAACAGAGATTAAGAAAACACGCAGGAAGGTGAGATTTGCACTTAAGGAAACATCTGGCTGAAGATTTTACGGTGGGCCACCCTGGTTACTAGCTGTACAGCGTCAGAAAAATTACTTCACCAACATCAGCCTACATTTATTCATCTTTCAAAACAGCTGCTACCTCTTCGGTCCGGCCTGTCGTGATTAAATGAAAGAGGAGTGCCAAGCTCCACAAAGCGGATAAGCGGTGTCGTCACCATTTTCCCGACCACGTGGCGCCGGCGGTGCAGGCTCGGGGGCGGGCCGACCCACCGCTCCACTGCGACCTAGCCGCTGGCTCCGGCCGCCAGGGTCCGCTGTGACCCGGCTCGGGCCTGGCCGCTCTAGCCTCGACCGGGGGAAGTCACTGTCCTTACCTTCAGCCGGAGCCCGCGCTTCGGTGGATGAGCCCGCTCGCCCTCCGCTCCGTCCCGCAGCTACCCACTGCCCGCCTGCCTCCCGCTATGGCCCTGCTGCACTCCAGCCGCGTCCTGTCCGGGGTCGCCGCCGCCTTCCACCCAGGCCTGGCGGCTGCGGCTTCCGCCAGAGCCAGGTAAGCAGGGGAGACGGAGCCGGGACCATGGGCCTGCCCAGCCGAGCTGCGGGCGCCCCAGGGCACCGACCACACGCACTTATTCGGCCACCCCCTCGGCTTCCCTGGGGGCTGAGGATTGAACGGCCGCGCCTCGCAGTGACCCTCGGGGTCCTACATCCCTCCCTCCCCCTGCCCACAGGACCGCAGGAGAGGATGCCAACGCGTTCCCCTGGGGTGGGAGTTGTGGCCCTCTACGGCACCCGGACTCCCATTCAAGGGGGGAAGGGTCACGAGACGCAGATTCGGCACCGGTGGGGGGATTCGGGGGCCGAGGGGAGAGCCCGCGGGTTGCGGCGCCGGGCAAGGCTCACGCCCATTGGCTGCGGTGCCGGGGCTGCCTCGCCCCCATTGGCCGCCGAGCTGAGGGAAAAGCGTGTGCCACGGGTGTGCCCTTGACAGGCTGCCCTCCTGGGCCGCGGGGCTCACCTGCCGCGGCCTTCCTTGGGCCCGAACGGGCGTGCCAGGCTGGCTGCTGGCTGCCGGCTGTCTGTGTGCTCGGGGGAAGGACGCTCATGGGTGGACGGTTCCCGCGACTCTGGCATTCATGCCTGGCTATCCTCTCTGCATCCGTGACCTTGGCGCACGGCATCCTCCCGCCCGTGGTACCGTAGCCTTAGTCATGGATGGCAAAGGGTCGGGGTGTAGAGCACCTCTTTTTTCTTTTAAGCCCTTAGGAGGTCTGGTTGTAGGCCTTTCTTCCTCTCCATCTCGCTCTGCTCTTTCATTTAGTAAATATTTCATCACCCGAGTTTGAGAGCCAAGCTCTGGACCGATGCTGTGTCCGTGAACAAGGCTGAGAGAGGGACAGGTGTCACTTAAAAAATTACAAGTGTATAATTTCAAACCGTGCGATAAGTGTTGCTGGGAGCGGGGGAGTACGGCGCATTAAACGAATTAGTAATTCCTTCCTAGTGGAGGCCTGAGCCAGGCGATTTAATTACTCAAGAAGCCGACTGGGGACAGTGTCCTTAAGTACTACCTTATCAAGAACCGAGTCTCCAAACCACGACCAGATAGTAGCTCCAAGGAGCAAAGCCTTGACCTCTATTACGTGCCTTGGCCTTTCCTTTGAATGTATGCATGACGTCTTCAAGCCAGCAGAATACTTTGTCCTTTTCAAAGTCCCGCACTCCTGGCAGTAGGTTTGCCCTGGCTTTCACACTTTCTTCTCTCCTTTATTTGGTTCCTCCTTGGCTCACTCTCTAGGTGTTGTCTTTAAATCAACCTACCTAGTGGACAAGGATCAGAGAGGGGGTATTATTTATGAAGCAAATTTGGAGGACAGAGAGGGGTGCCTAAAAGGATGGGCAGGAGTTCTGCTTTGGCAGCACATGTACTAAAATTGGAATGGTACAGAGAATATTAGAATGGCCGCTGCCTAAGGATAACATGCAAATTCGTGAAGCATTCCATAGTTTTATTGGTAGTTACCACATTGTCATGGGGGTGTAAAGTACATCATAGAGAATGTAATCAATAATATTGTAATAACTATGTATAGTGCCAGGTGAGTACTAGACTAATCAGGGATCACTTCACAAATTATATAAATGTCTAACCACTATGCCATGCACCTGAAACTAAAATAAAATAATATTGAATGTCAACTGTAATTGAAAAATAAAAACTAAAATAAAATTATGGGCAAAAGAAAGTCGGTTTCATCATTGTAGCAATCTTAAAGTAATCTTGTTTTGTGGGTTTGGCTGGGTGGCCTTCAGCTCTACTTAGAGTGCTTGGTGAAAATTCCTATGGGTGTGACCTATGGGTGTGACCTTTTAGTCGTTCTGTCAGTTCAAGAGCCTGACTCATTTTTCTTTTCAGTCTTTTCCTCTTAGAATGTAAATTCCATGAGAGCAGAGACTGTATCTACTTTGTTCACAGTTATATCTCAACAGTTAGAACAGTGCCTTCATGTCCTTCAAATCAAATATTTTTAAAGTTTTATTTTTTTTAATGCAATAGAAACAAATATGCTACTTTAATATTATATCTGAGAGCAAAGTCCAAACCTATAGGGGAACCACAGTTGCAAAATGTATACCAAAAATATAGCCTTAAATATTTGAGTACTGGCAGTTGAGGTGTTGTTTAGATTTAAACATGATACATGACTGGGCAATAGAACCGGACTCCATATCTGGCTATGACTGTTAGCTGTTCAGACAGTAAGGAAGTGAGAACTTTTACTCCTGCCACTGTGGAAGTGATCTTTACCTAAAGCCAAATGTTAAAAGTGGAAAACATTGAAAATAAACTCAACTAATTGAAGTTTCTTTTTTAAAATAATAAAGCCTATTCTAATACAGTAAAGCCCTAGCAGTTGGTATTCTGACAAACTGAAGATTTATCCTATGAAGTACTTAATTTTCATACGTGGGTCATTTAAATGGAAGTCTCTAAGTTCAAGTATTTCGTTCAGGCGCATCTATAAAACAGCAGTAAACATTTAATGTGTTTTCATTGACCAGTGCTGTAAAAGCATAGTGACATTAAATCAGACAAAGTCATAGGTCAGTAAAAAAAAGAAAAATATGCTGATATAATTTGATTTACAATGATCTGTTCTTAATTTTTAAATTCTGATTATTTAATTTTTGGTGAAATAACCGAAGGAGTATCATGAGACCCTTTAGAAAGGCAGTGTGCAGTAGTGGTACAATACCAGTAGTTAGAACACCAAAATTGTCGTATTTTTTTTAATTTTTTAATTTTTCAATTAACATTTAATATTAGTTTCAGATGTACAGCATAGTGGTTAGACATTTATAGAACTATGACATGATCCCAATAGGTCTAGTACCCACCTGGCACCAGATGTAGTTATTGCAATATTATTGTAGTATTGTGTTTGCTGTTTTTAGCTCTGTGATCATGAGCAAGTTAATTAACTTCTCCTATAAAATAAGAATGTGAGGAAAAACATTTTAAAAATTCTAAAGTACTATGTAGGCTATAGGGGAAACTAGAAAGCATTTGAATTAAAATGCTTATCTGAGTACTTTGTACTTGACATCTTTTGGTTTGGCTGGTCAATGGCTGAAGATTTGCACTGTGTCCAAAGTGCACTGGTAGGAATCAATAAGGCCAATAAGGCCATAGGTTGTCCTCGTCATCTTTGCCCCAGAGCATTCTTTGATCCATCTAGTAGTATCTCTTTAAAAACCTGAGTTCCTACAGTATGGACAGAGCCTTAACCCTTTAAGGAATGAAATAATGAGGAGCGTAGAGGACCTGAGCATGAGTACTGATGTAGGAATAACCAAATCGAGTATCCCTGCTCCAATATTCAGATTTTTGAGATTCAGTATTTTCAAATTGCTTTTAGAATTCTTCTTGAAATCATATCTCTGCCAGAAAACTCAAGGCTGTTGTTTCTGGGAGACTTTCTGTGCTGGATAAAATTTTTAAAGAACGTGACAAATAAGTGCTCTTCACACCATTTAACAATGGTGCCTTTTCTCCTTGTGATTAGAGGCAGCAGCTCTGTCATCATTGATTGAAGACCTTGGAGACAGAACCATTCTTTAAAAAAATGAAAATTGCTTACTAGAATCTCTCTAATATGACCTTGACATTCAAAGTATTTCTTTCACTCATCACTTAATGACAGTGATGTAGATAGGCAGGTGGCTACATGTTTTCAGGGTCTGAATTGTGGGTTGCTTTAAAGTATCTGTTTCTTACTATTGCTTAGATACGGAAGCAACCAGGCGGCCTAGAACAACAAAGAAAATGGGAGCGATTTTGAGTTCTGACTAGAACAGTTGAGAAGGAGGAATGATAATATCTCCTGAGACTCTACAAAAAAAAAAACTTAGTAGTAACAATTGAAAAGCAGGAAAGACCTGCATTTGGTCATAAAACCATATGACCATATACTCCTTGAATTCTCTACATACTTGCCTCAACAGGCTTCATACTTGGTGGCATGGTGGTTATAAATAAAAGTGTAGTGTGGTAATATAGTAACAGTGATACCAGCTATCAGTGCTCATTCTGTACCAGGCTCTGTTCTGTCTTATATTTAATAACTCCTTTCATCCTTATAACAACCCTGTGAGATAGGTACTGTTGTGGCCTCATTTCACAGATAGACTCTAAAAATGCAAAAACATTCATGTCATTCCCCTTACCTGATCACCAAACCCCCCCACCCCCACCCCGCCAAAGAAAAGAAAAAAACTTTAATGATTCTACATATTTTCACTACATCCAAGGTGGGGCCCAGGAAAACTTTTTTTTTTTTTTTTTAAGGCGAGGCATCTCTCGATTGGCCTCACAGATTGCAAGGACCTTGTCAGTTTACAATCTCTTATTTTTTATTTTTTACACCTACAGCACCTGGTCTTCCTAGGTGGTCTCCCCAGGAAAACTATTTTTAATAAGCTCTCCAAGTTTGGGAACAGGATAAAAATCTAAGCCCCTTGGTTGGGGAGGGGTGTCACATCATCCTCTTGCACTGGCCTTTTCTAACTTCTCTAGTCTCATCTTTTGCCACTCGCAGCTTCTCACTGCCAAATTACTTGAAATATTCTTTGCCTGGGAATTCAGATCAGGTTTGGACTGCCTACACATGTACCCCGTCCTCCTCAAGGTGATTCAGTTACCTACCCCACTCTACCATGCTTCCCATAGCATTTGTATTGAAATTACTGGTCTCCACTCTTCTGCAAGGTGCTTTGAAGTCTTATGCCTTGTCGGATTATTACTATCTATTGCTACACCTTGTATGTAGTAAACATGCAAACATTTGTTTAAAGGGATTTGTGCCAGATCCAAGATGTCTCTGGCCATGGAAATCTTGCTCCTGTAACTGATGTCTTGTATTTCCCATTTCAGCTCCTGGTGGGCCCATGTGGAGATGGGGCCCCCAGATCCCATCCTGGGAGTCACAGAAGCCTATAAGAGAGACACCAACAGCAAAAAGATGAATCTGGGAGTTGGTGCCTACCGGGATGATAATGGAAAGCCTTATGTGCTCCCTAGTATCCGGAAGGTAAGCTTGCCATCCATCTCCTCCCTGACTGGGATGAATAAACTGCAGAGAGTGGCAGAAAGACTGCTGGACCGGGGGAGTCAGGAGACCTGGGTTCTGGTTCTGATACTAACTGCTTGAAACACTTAGGTTGTCTGGGCTGTAAAATTGAGAGGTTGGAACTACCTGTTCTTTTTCAAGATTGAACTTCTGTGATTATAAAATAGACATAATGTCATGTTTACTCCTGAGAGTGCACCAAAGGACCAAGAATGTAAACATTCTCTCTTGATGATAGAAATAGCCCTTCATGGATGAGAGTTACTCTTGTTATTTTCCGTTTCTCTCATTTCGATTGCCTTAATAAAGGCCTCCTACGCTAGCATGCTCTGTCCTTTCTTATCGAACGATAGAATGATTTTCTTTACTTTTGTTATATATTAATAGTCTTTCTATTGGTTATCATTATAAATAGTATAACTAATCCCCTTAGAACAATTTTTTTGAAGAAAATGTCTTCCTTTCTGCACCTCCTATAATGAAATGTGACTGGTGCTGCTTCGTCACTTCCAAAAGTGAGATGGTGATGTGTCCTTGCTCCATCCTGCAGAACTAGGCCCCACAAGTGGCAGCTACAGAAGAATACTTTTGGGTAAAGAACTCTAATCATTTGAGCTATACGATGTGCAACATACTTGCTGAGGCCTTTATGAGCTCCAGCAGCTAGAGTGTGGGCTAAACCACTGAAAGAATTTCTGAATGTATGAAGTGTACATTAGGTGTCATCTTTATAATTCTGAGTAGCAAAAAAGACTCAAGAAACAAGGGTTTACTTTTCCTCTGAGTAAGTTAAAGTATTCAGCAAGTGTTAACTTGTTGCAAACTGGAACACCACCACACACGTTTGTACATTACCTCATCGGCTCTTCACCTTAACTATATGAGGTATAGAAACAGTTGTCCTCCTATTCAACAGGTGAGGAAACTGAGACCCAAGAAAGTTAATAATTAGCCCAGGGTCAGCCAGGCCTCTGACTCCATGGATATATGTGGCTATTACTATTAACCCTTTGAAGTTCTTAGACTGGCATATGCTGTGCAATGACTTTATGTATTTAGTTTGATTTTATCATCTTGTATCTATTTTAAGTGTTGCTCTTAAAGCTTCCTCTTGTGCCTTCCAAGAATGTCATTTTATGTTAAATGGTAACCAGGAAAACACGGTATACTACTTCACATAAAACCTAACTTTAAAAAAAAAAAGAAGAAAAAATATTTAAATATTTCTGTTCTGCAATATAATGTATAAAGTATTCTATTTATCCTTCTTCTTGGGCAATATCTCCAAATAAAAAGAAGGCTTTACCTCCAAAATTTAACTTATGAAACATTAAATATTAATCAAGGTTAATTCCAGGTAAGGAAAAGAAGCTAAACGAATGCATTTTCTCTTGTCTAGGCAGAGGCCCAGATTGCTGCAAAAAATTTGGACAAAGAATACCTGCCCATTGGAGGACTTGCTGAATTTTGTAAGGCATCTGCAGAGCTAGCCCTGGGTGAGAACAGTGAAGTACTGAAAAGTGGCCGGGTAAGCAGAGCAGACTCTCATACAGGATCTGTTTTTAAATTTAATAGTTTAAACAAATTGGAAATAATTTAAACAATTTTAAACAAATAAGAAAAGATACACCATTTTGTGTGTGATGATTGTTTGAGGTGGCCACACTCTTGCTAATATCCCTTCCTTAGATAGTAAGTTGGCACTAGTTAAATAAAACATTTTCTATAACACCAAAATTCCAAAAATGTAGTGGTAATTTGATAGATTTTCTGTTAGTGTCCATGTGCTTATGTTCATTTTATATTAAATATGCTTTAGAAATGCCAAACTATGCCTAGTTTTAGGCCTTTAACTCCCATCTTCATGTCCTAAGCTTCCAGCTTAGATGGAGGAAGCAGGCAGGCAACACAGCCACAGGCAAACTGCTGGGACTGGACCAGTCTGGCACCCCTCTGCTTCTTCTTCACTGCCAGTTGGGACACTGAAAGAGAGCAGACCATGCTCCCTCCTGCTGCCTGCCTCCTCTATAAGCGTGAGGGGAAGCACAAGTGTCTCTTAGTTGTCTCCTCCTTCCCACTCCCTGGGGGGCCCTCTTATTGTGGACGAAAGATGGCCCTAAAGATCACTGGACATAAAGGTTTTTTGCAAACAGATTTCTGTATGCACCCTCAGAGTACATGCAGGCCCACCCGCATTTGTAGTAGAAGCCTGGCATCGTGCAGGTGGGATGCAGCCAGGCCACCTGAACCCTAACCTGACCCGTGGGCTCCTGTGCATTATAGTTTACTTTCTTCTGAAACAAATGTTTTTTAATAGATATAATTATACGTTAAATATTTGTTTTTCTGTGTAAGTCTGCGGGAAAACACACAAAGTAACAAAACTAAGCCAACATTTCTCCCCCATCCCTCCAAGACGAGAATAAATATTTTATTCACAAAACTGGTCTAAGTCTACAGGTTAGTTCATTAACTCAGAGAAAAGCATACAGCCTCAGAGAAAAAGCCTCAAGCTGATGGTGATGCAGTAATGGTCATAAGTCATGGATGGAATATGGTTTGATTGATATCCATACAATCAACCACCTGTTAACCCCACATGAAAATGTCTTTATTTTTCTATAATTTTTACTTAGTCTGTGTACATCTAGTCAGTTGTAAACTAAATATGAGACTGGCCTATCTTTAAATAATATCAGCTTGTCTTTTATAAATTGCTACGCCTTTGTGCATTATTAGTATTATCAGATCTACAGTTAGATTTTTATTTCTATCAGGCCAAAGTTGACAGAGACAAACTTTGTTTAGTAAAGAGTTTGTTAGTTGGATTCCCCTCATCTAATCCAGTGTCTCCCAGTCAAGAAAATAAATTTAATAAGTTTATGTTTTGTAGAGTCTTGTACTTTGGTGGTGCCTTTAAAAAATAAAAACAAACAAACTTTTGTGGCTTCTTCATCCCTAAAGTTGACCAATTTAGAGAAACAGATTCACCACAGGCATCTATCTCCATTACTCAAAAGATGAATATTTTCAGATTCTGAAAACTTATAAAGGGGACCTCTTAGATAACATTTAAAATGTAGTAATGTGATTCTAATGTATTTGTTGAGTTGCTTTTCAAGAAACTGATGTTCAGAGAGGTTCAGAGAGTAATTCAATTCTGTATAATTCTAGAATAATGTATTTAATGTAGTAATTGTTCTCGGTGTCTTTTTCCTCTGCATAAATCACTCCTTTTTCATGGAGGGCGGGGGGGACATTTTATGTCTTGAAAGTTTCTCGTGTAACACTAATAACAGGCCATAAGGAATTAGCTTCTGCCTCAGCAAAGTGGTTGGAAACTGCAGAAACAGCTCTTTTGAGAATCCACTGGGAGAGTCGAGTCAGTCTGTCTCTTAGCACATGGGGGGATGAAACAGTAGGGCTGTTCTCTCCTTTCCAAATATTCATTGAGAACATTATCCTCGGTTTCTGAAGAAGGAAGCATACTGACAGTACAGGGCTGTGCCTCTCTGTGTGCTTGACCTCTGTTTCGTTAAGTTGTGAGCCTATAGCAAGTGTTGCACCTCCCTGACCACTGTGTCTCCTTCAGTATGTCACCCTGCAGACCATTTCTGGAACTGGGGCCTTAAGGATCGGAGCCAGTTTTCTGGTGAGTCTGGAAATTCCTTCGGCAAGGAGCTGTAAGTTGAGGATGATAGTGCTTCCTGTCGTGTGTGTGTTTGCTGACTTGGAAGTAGATTTTCTCTTTCCATGGAGTCAGAGATTTTTTGTTCTGTGATAAATGGATTCAAGTGGATAAAAATGAAAGTACTTAGAAGAAATTACAAAGAAGATATTATTATAAATAATATTATAATAATAATGTAATTTATTGAGTACATACTGTTATTAGGAGCTTTTATATTTTAACTTGTTTTAATCTTTATGAAGAAGGTTCAGTTAATGTCATTTTACAAATGAAGAAAATGAGCCCCAGATATGCCCTCAGCTACACAGCCAGTATAACTGTCAGAGCCTGGATTCCAACCCAGGCAGTCTCTCCGCTTGGGCAGTGTTGTCTCTAGATCACAGAAGCTGAGTTTCAGTAGAGAAAATGTCTTATCAGTAAAATACATCAACTTTTTTTGCCTTTCCTTTCATCATTTTTCATTCTCTTTCATTCCATCTCTTAGCAAAGATTTTTCAAGTTCAGCAGAGATATCTTTCTGCCGAAACCATCCTGGGGAAATCACACACCCATCTTCAGGGACGCCAGCATGCAGCTACAGGGTTATCGATACTATGACCCCAAGACGTGTGGCTTTGACTTCACAGGTGCTGTGGAGGACATTTCAGTAAGTGTGGCTTTCAGGGCAGGAGAGGTGAACAAACAAGGAGTAAACCTGAGGAGATGGGAGGTCCACCAGCTGAGTCTCGATACCTGACTTAAAATACTGGGGATTAGCTAAGGCCCAGACCGCAGGTTATTTTTGTGACTTGCCGAGTAGCGGTGACTCCATGGCATGTCAGGTCAATTATCTCCTTTAAAAGCTGCAAAGTAACCTCTTGGTTGTTTGTCTTTTTAGAAAATTCCACAGCAAAGTGTTCTTCTTCTGCACGCCTGTGCCCACAATCCCACAGGGGTGGACCCTCGCCCCGAACAGTGGAAGGAGATAGCAGCAGTGGCAAAGGTGAGGAAGGTGAACTGACTGGAGACAGTCGTGTGTATAGTAACTGGCCTGAGATGCTCAGCCTGGCAGAGTCTTAACAGCGACAGTTAATTACCTTGAGCCCACATGAAATTTCCATGCATTAAGTAGTCAGAAAAGAGCTCCTCATTTGTGTGATTAACGGTCCTATAATTGATACCCGAGCAGTTTGGAAATAATTTTTATTCCTCATCCTGAGTGTAGGGTTTTTTTCCGTACATAGGCATCCACTGGCCCCAGGCTGTTGGTGCCTACATTTGGCCCTGATCAGTGGTTACTTATTCATCTTTTATCTACTTTTTTGTGTCCCCTCCTATCCTTGCCACTTCTCTCGGCATTACCATTACCATTCATAGGGCCAGCTGGCAGAGAAGGCACTAGTCAAAATTCCGAGGAAGATATTCCCATTACTTTGTGTCCCCATTTTCATTCCTTCTGGTTTCCCTTTTTTTATACTCTGTCGAATCTAAGCTGCAAACAGAATGAGACAGAAACAGCGTTCAGAGAGCACTTCAGGATGAGATGGCTCTAATGTGGCCGTCCCATGAGCCCTGGGTGTAAGGTGAGTCTGCCAGTTACATTAGCCCAGTAAAGGCTGATGTTGGACCTGTGTCTACTGGACTGGAGTAATTATCCAGACCACTGTGGGCTTTTAGGCTTCCTGTTTGACCAAGCAGCTTTCTGGGCAGATCAAGATTAAGATTCTCTTTTCTTAACATTTCCTTGAGCGACTACATCCACTAAAGTAAATAAAAATATTTTTTGATATCTTAACTCTTAAGGAGAAGAAAACATTTCCACCATCTGGGGAGAAAACTATGTTGACTCAGTCTTTGTGAGGTCTCAATAAGCACAGATAACTGTCTGGGGCATCTTGAGAGGGACTGGCTGAAGCTTTGGTCATCTTTTCTTTTCCTTCACAGAAAAACAATCTCTTTGTCTTCTTCGACATGGCCTACCAAGGCTTTGCCAGTGGTGACAGTAACAAAGATGCCTGGGCCGTACGCCACTTCATCGAACAAGGCATTAATGTTTGTCTCTGCCAATCCTATGCCAAGAACATGGGCTTATACGGTAAAGTAAAGGACCTGGCATGATGTGTATTCCAATGAGCTTGATGAAGTACTGGGAGAGGATGCCACAGAGGTGTGGAGTTTGGTGTGCGTGCGCGTGTATGTGCGTGTGTTGTCCATGTCTCTCCTTACCCAAAGAGGAACGGCAGGTGAAATGAATTTTACTGATCTTAGCCATATCTTCTTTGCTGAATTCCTCCAGCAAAGGAAACTAATGGCTGCTTCTCTAAATACTAAGTGACTGCTCTATGAGCCAAGAAGAATACAATAAAAGAGACCTTTGAACACTCTTGAGTACTCAAACTTCCTGTCATACCTGGATTTACCATACGGGTTGTTAAAAACTTTTTATTTATTAACAGTTATTTTCGTGGCTCTTCTGATGGAAAAAGATAATATGTAGCAAATTTAAATCAAGTGCCTTAGCATTTTAGATAGAACTAGAAAACAAGATCCGTTTGTCTTTTCAGGTGAGCGTGTGGGAGCCTTCACTATGATCTGCAAGGATGCTGATGAAGCCAAAAGGGTAGAGTCACAGTTGAAGATCTTGATTCGCCCCATGTATTCCAACCCTCCTCTCAATGGAGCCCGAATTGCCTCCACCATTCTAAACAGCCCTGACCTCCGAAAACAATGGTAAAGGCACATTGCCACTTCCCAACCCCCTAACTTTCCCACCACTGAGCCTTCAGAGTTCATTTGTAATTGGCCACTAGTGACATACAGTATCACACAGCTTCCATGTGTGGAAGGGAAAGAAGAATGTGCATTTTGTTAGCACTTTCAAATAAATACATTGGTCTTTCCCAGCAAGAGACAGACATAATTCAAAAATGGCACTTTCTTTCATTCCATCATCTCCAGGTTAAGTAAAACCTGCCTTCTCCTAAATTTAAGTCCATCTTGAAGTTCCTTACATAGGAAAACTTTCTTAAAGACATCATATTTTTTGTTTTTATCCTGATAATAGCTAGCATTGAATTGGTATTTCTGCATATTTTGGTTTTTATTATGCACACCATCTAAATCTCTTAGCACCTGAGCTCTAAAGTAGTGTTACTCAGTCTTCTTTATCACAATCCACATAACACATATATTTTACATGATGATCCTGAACTCATATGACCCATACATGTATGTATATATAACTGAAACATTTTCAACACTCAGTTGAAACACTTAGGTTTCATGTGCCATACTCCACTCTTTTCTAAATGTCAGTTGTATCAATTACATTGAATATATTGCCAGCTAATGGGTCATGGTACAATTTTAAAAACTTTGCTCTAGACCAGGGATTGGCAAACTATGTTCTGCAGATCAAGTCTGCCCCCTATTTTTGTAAATAGTTTTATTGGAACGCAACCACATTTATTCTTGATGAATTGTATATGGTGGCTTTTGTGCTATATAACGGCAGAGTTCAGTAGTTGTGACAGAAACCACATGGCCCATAAAATCTAACACTTTTATGATTTGGCCCTTTATAAAGTTTGCCAATCCTTGCTCTGTATAATTTAGAGTTAATAAAAAGCCTGGATGCCCATGGAAGATGTGACTTATTATACAAGAGTTTATCCTGTGTAGCTGGTTAGTTAAGAGAACAGATCTCTAAGCAACATCATAGGTAGAAAAGCTAGATCTGCCATCTGCTATCTGCAAGAAACTTTATTCCAGCTCATCTCCACATCATGTGACAACTGTTTTCTACCTTAAATTAATTGTATAAACATTGATGTAAATAGAGTACAGTTCCAGATAGTTCTTTTCAGTGCAACAGATCCATGCTAGGCTTATAGAAATTGACTACTTTTTAATTTTGTTTCCATTACAAAGTTAATATATAAGTAAATTTCAGAAAGTTTGGGAGAGGGGAAAATTAACCATAACTGTAGTCACTATAACCCAGCT